GTGAGGATACTAGTTGCAATACCGAAAATATTAGCACCTCAGTGAGAGATTGAAGAGGATAGGTGTCAGTGCGTGGTGAGTTTGTGTCATGGTCTGATTCCACATAATTGATGTCTAATAGTAATAACATGCATAAACATGATGAGAATGATCGGGATTGATAGCCAAATGATTGCGAAAGCTAAAATATGGATACTCTTGTACAAAGATTTTGTCGTGAGTCTAGTGTCGCTTGAGGACAAACAACGAACTTAAGTTGAGGGTGTTGATGTACCATGATTTCAAGGTATTTTTAATGTTTTTTCCTTAAGTTTAGTGTGTCTCCAAAAGCCTTTTTGTATTGATTTTAATGTAAGTTTCACCTTATTTGTAGAAAATCTGTCCAAACAGACCACCTATGGAGCTTATGACGGTCAGTCAAGCCTGTGACGTTCCTTTGGTGGCATCTTAATGAAGCTGCTGAAGGAAGATGGGGAAGTTTGACTTAGTGGGATTACGGAAGTCTACGACGACCGTCATAGCCACGACGGTCCGTCCTGCTGGTTCGTCGTAATGATCAGAGAGTAGTCCCAGTACCCAAATTCAAAGAAGTTTAAGTATGATGGAACGGAAACCCTCGATGGACCATCGTGCTTGGAACGGTCCGTCATACCTGTCCGTTGAGGGTAATGAAGAAAGCAGCAGAAGAATTTATGAAGTATGGGACGACGGAGGCCATGACGTCTTGTCGTGACCATGACGGTCCATCACGAGTTCCGTCGACTCGGACGCGTTTTGACTGATTTTCAATAATTAGAATACTTCTTTTATTAGATTTTTGTTTTTATTATAAATAGTTCAAAAACCTCATTTTTTGGGTTAGACTTTTTGGTGTTAGACTTTTGGAGAGTTGGACTTTTTGATAATCTTTAGTTCACTTATTCAAGTATTGAAGGATTAATTTCAGTAATTGTTACGCTTTTTCTGGAATTGATTGTTGGTGTTTTTGTTGATTAATCAAGTGAATCTCTTAATTTTATTCTTTCTCATCAATGTAAGTTCATGAATTTTTATATTAAATATATGAATAGTGTGATTATGACTATGGGTAACTAAACTCCACAACTAGGGTTATGGGAACCATGGGTGAATAATAAGGTAAAATCTAACTAAAATAACAATTCTAGAATAGTGTCTTGCATGTATTGATAATTCTATCGATTAGAAGTCTTTTTAACGGATGGACAATGTTAGAACTCACCTTAATGCTACTTGCTGGACCAAGGAGGCAGATAATAGCAAAAGAATTATCAACATAGATTTAGTGTACGCTATCTAATAAGCTAGTGTCGATTGGTATGAGGTAATAACTTAGTCAGATATCGAATACAATGCTTAATATGAGGTAAAGGTAGGGGTTAGTATAGCAACACACAAAGCTGGACCAAGGTGCGGAGTGAAATTTTCTAGATACCGAACCAAGGATTTAAATATACATAACTTATCACTTTATATTCAAGATACTAGGAAAGAATTGTTACAGTTAGAATTATCAAGTTAGGAACCTGTGGGGAACACTTAAGCTCTAGTTACTTTTATTAATTTAGTAAGCTCCAAGATTTGAATCTGTTAGTTATTTACATTAATTTAGTTAATTATTGTCATTAATTTCGAAATAAAAAACCCCTTTTATTGTCTTTTATTTTCTAAGGAAATAATTGACTAAATAATAGTAATAATAGAATAAAGTTAAGTCTGAACGATTTTCCTCATGAGAACAATCTCAACCTCATTAGTTGGGTTCTTTACTTGATACGACCGCTTTACTTCTTATTTGAGAAGTAAGTTTGAGCATATCAGAGAGTGAGAAGGTTTGTTAAGGGTCTGATTATTCCGATTCGTCTAGGAGTTTCTCAGGTTATTGCTTCTGGTTTTCATTTAAGAAAGTGGTAGATGATGCTAAGGAGTTGGAGATGAATCGACGTGAGGGATTTGAGCAGCGTGAGGGCAAGAGGACTAGTTATTTAGGAGATCATGGTGGTGCTTCGCCTAGGAGTCGAGGTTATGTAGGGAGAGGTTATCACTCTCAATCCGGCAGACCTATTCATGCTGCTATACCTGCGTCTGAGGCTAGTTACGGTGGGCCTAGTTCTTCAAGCTCAGTGCATACTTCACAGGGTTCATCTTCTAGACCTATAGTTCGTGGAGGGCATTCTGTCATTCAGGTTCTCTCATTAGCCTGGGTCTCGTAGGGGTTGTTTTATGTGTGGTGATATGGTATATAACGAATAACAAATATAAGTAGTAAGAAACAAATTATAACAATTGTAAATGCAAGAAGATTTTCTTATGAATCATAGCGTCATGTATCTGCTATACACCTTTTCATTAGTATCCACAATAAGAAATATACAAAATCATCAATATTGCATGATTTTCAAGGAATGTACCAAATAAAATTCCTGATTATCAATTTGATAGCCTAATAATATTAAATTATATACATGTGAGACAACAACTACATTTCTTATAACATAAAATAGTAGGACTTTCAAGATGAATTTTTATTCTTCCTTAATTTGAGGTATCATAAAATTTTGATTAGGATTGATAAGTTAAGGCATAACTCACGTTAATTGTACCTTAAAAAAAAGAGGTCATCTTAAAATCAGTTAAGAACATGAAAGTAAAAAAGACATCTTTGCAGATTAAAAAGGCTACTTGTAGTATAACAAATATGCAATTTTTTCAATTCAACATACAACAAATCCACAACGTAACAATGGAATTTAATTACCATGACGAAAAAAATTATGGGCATCATCATGTAGGCGAGTGTACCTTAGTTGTAGTATAACAAATCAATAATTTCTTCACTTCAATATAAATGGACCTTGAGTGTCTCAAATAATGGCTATGCAGTCTCATTTTTAGTTACTCCCTTCAATTTGAGGACTTAAGGCTAAGAGGACGAAAGCTGCAGATTTAATTTTGGTATGACATTTTGAGGCTAAAATTGAAACTTAGATAACTATATTGAAAGAATTATCGATTAACAATGTGAAAAAATCTCTATCGAAGGTTGAATTTTGTACTGATAAACTCGGGACAAGTATTTTAAAGAATGATGTACTATTTGAGAAACTCCTTGTTTGATCTGGAAAACGAAAGGCAAGGAGAGAGAAAAATAGAGCCGAGAACGATAGAGAAGCAGAGCAGAAGAAAAAACATATTCCGAAGACATAAATACCCTCACTATTGGTTAAAATTATGGAGAATACACATTTGTCTAATCATTGTAGCGTAAGGTACAACAAATATAGTTGTGTTCGTCCATGGCCTTCACTCTTCTATATAGTAGAAAAATATATTAAATTGAATTTAAAAAGAAAAAATAATTAAGTGTCAATATTTAAAAAATAAATTTTAAAAGTAGGTTATCATTTTATTTGTTATACACCTATAAAACAAATTTTAAATGTATTCAGAATTAATCTATAGATGGATCAATAGACTCTATCTTCATATAGTTTATGAAAATTGTTAATATATTGAGACTCATAATTTTAATTTTTTTCTCATGATGATTTTCAAATAAAATAGAAAAAGATTATCACTAAATTAATTATTTAATTCGGATATATATTTGACACAATGTTAAAATAATCACCGGAGTATGTGATATTTTATTGTTATTTCTTATCATGTTTATTTGAAAATGTTATAATAATTTTTCTTTTTGAAAACTAATTAAATTTCTATTATAAGTACATATAATATTGTTATATTGAGCATATGATGAGTCTTTCAATATATTGGGTCCGTATTACAGGCCTTAAATTATTTATTATATATTTATATAATTTAAGGCCCGTGCCCAATATAATTAATTATCTTTTCAGTTTTAATTAATTTTTTTTACCTGAATTTTCATTTTATTTTATTCTAGTTTCTAAAATTTAATACCATTTTAGAAAATTACAAAAATACCTCAGATTTATCTCTATCCTCTATCATATATATGATCATCTCATCTCAGCTACATCTCAATCCTCTCTCAAATTCATCTTTATCCCCGTTTAAATACATCTCTCCTCTCGGGTGCACCCATATTCCCTCTCGAATGCACTCCTTCCATCTCGAATTTATCTATGAGATAAGTTTTTGCAATTTTTTTAATAGTGTCACGACCGATGTATCCACATTTCTATTGATGTATCCAAAAAAATTTAATTCTAAGAAAATTTTGTAATTTAAAAAAGAGTATGAATATAATGTAATTAACTCTTCATACTATGAAAATTTATATAATTTTTATTTAATTTATGTGACATATTTTTCTCTGTAGAGAATTTCAAAAGAATGATATATTAATATATTTAATAACATTTTGACTTCAAAATATTAGTTTTATTCTTAGTAAAATGATTTATAATCATATGAATTGTTGACACCCAATTTTGGCCTAACATTTTTAATATTCACAATTTTTAAATTTTATTTATTTAATAGGTTGAAATAAATTTTTGTTTATAATTTTAATTAAGTTTATCGATAACTATCCTTATTTATTAAAATTAAAAAAATATTTGTTAATATTTATATTTTTTAACATGTCATTAGTTACGTTCATTATGTTTTTTTAATATTCATTTTTATTTGTTACATCAATTAATGTTAATTTTGATATTTTCACAGTTTAAAAATTCGTTCATAATACGATACAATTTACATATACAAATATCTTTTAATCAATAATAATTTTTGGGCTTTAATCTTAATCCCATGATTTAGGCCCATCATATAAGGTGGAATGGTATGATGGGCTCTTATACTTGTATCGATTTGTATTCTGAACCCTTTTACTTAGTCCTTTGTTATCTGGACTCTTAAAATAAATAAAACACGATATAATAAACCCCTCTAACCATTGACCATGTTTATGTGGCATTACAATAGCTGAGTTGGCAAGAGAATGTGACTACACACATTTAGAGAGAGAGAGTGAACATTATATTTTAAGCTTTAAATTTTAAATTATTACAGTTATATCATAAAAAAAATAAAAATAAAAAGACTCTCTTCTTCCCCCACCAAACCACTTCTTTTAGCAACCCCCAATCGTTGCCCAACCTCTTCTTTTTTTTCCCACTCCATAGTTATCTTCTTTAACCCGATTTTGGAATTGGCACTTTGGTAACATCAAGTTTCTTGGCGATTATCAGTGGCGTGAGAGGGAGAGACACGCTGGTCCGTTTTTTGCTATATTGGGAGCGATGTTGGCCTGTTTTTCGACAGAATGGGAGGCGGCGACCAATGAAGGGGTTTGGGGTACGCCGAGAAAATGGAGATGGGAAATTCCAGGTCGCAGTCTTCAATCTTTCACAACAATCGTCTTCTAATCCCTTAAACTTGTCTTTTTCAACCAATTTTGATAACCCAAGAAAATCTCAGGCGAATGTAGGGTAGATTTCGATGAGTTTCACAGCAGAGGTTGGTGTGAAATTGTCTTTGTAAGTAATTTGGGGTGAGAAAATAGTAGTCGGCGTTGGATTACGAAAAATTTGGTCAGATCTGATTGTTAGGTGACTTAGGTTGTTATAACTATGGAGGTTGGAGGAGGAAAATAAATAGTGATGGTGTGCAGCTAGCTAGAGGATGGTCGCACTCTTGCTGACTACAACATTGAGCAAGAGTCGACATTACATTTGAGGCTTCATGGAGGAATTATTGAGCTTCTTTGGTGGTTTTTGCTAGGAAGTACAATCAGGAGATTTGTTGCAAGTGCTATGAAGTGTGAGCACAACAATCAGTTGAGACCTAAGAAGAAGATAAGCAGATGGTGAATTTGAATTTGTGAACATGTAGTTGCAAATGTTGAGATCCTTGAGAAACAATTAGATATATTATTGGGTTGCTTGTTCAATTTTATTCTAAAAACATTAATCAATTTGTGTTTTATTTATATCAAAGATTTTGAGCTATTTTGATTGGTAGAAAAAAAAAGGAAGAAAGTATATACGATTTCGTCGGCAAAAATGGCGCTGCCGCCGGCGATGGCTTTCTATTGGTCCTGAAACAGTGAAAATAGTGTTGGGGTGGGAGGGTAGAAATTTCTTTAGGGTTGCAATTTAGAGATTTTGAGATTCTTTTAATGCTCTTTATTTTTTTTCTGGCTAAAAGCTCACCGGAGCTTTGACCTCCGACCGCCGGTCCACCACCCAAAAAACCTTACCCAAGCTCCATATTCCATTTTGGCTCCATAGCCACCGGAGAAACCATCAGTTCTAAACAATCCTAAGAAACCCATCTACCTTGCTTTTCCTCCATTTTCAAGGAACATCTCCCTTACTTCATTTTCCGGCGAGCTCAAACACCAAAACGAGCTCGCCACGATCTCTGCCTCTGTTCCTCCTCCAGACCACCAACAACAACCGCCCTTAAACCCCTACGAAACAGCCCCTAAACCAGCTGAAACCAGCAAGCCAAACGGCCCCCACGCAACCTATTTTCCCCTTTTTCAGATTCGCCGACGAGCTCGAAGTTCTCTACCACCAGGCCCACCAGATCTCCACCACACGCCTTCTCCACACCAGAAACCCCACGAGTACACCACCTCGAAAACCCCTCCCCCCCTCCCTTTTCTGTTTTCCCGGCAACCAAACAGCCATCAAACTCCTGTGAAAACCCCACCTCTTTCTCGATTTTCCTCACCACTAAACAACCACGAAAGATCACCCATTCTTTCCCCACCAACGAGCTAACAACAGCCCCATTCCGGCAAAACAACAAGCTGCGGCGAAGCTACTAGACCATATCTCGTACAAACGAGCTCGGAGCTTTTGTCCCAACAACATTGTCATCTTCAAATCTGCTTGTGAAAGTAACGACATGGTAACCCTTTTTAATTTTGTGTTTTTTTATCTATATCTATTGCTTATGAATATAAATTTTGAATTTTATTATTTTTGTCTAGTGTATGAGGTTACTTAATTTTTATTTATAGATAAATATTGGTGTTATTTGTAGATAAAATATAATAGTGGCTTGTTTCCTTTTCATTCCTATAAAGTGATACACTTGTTAGCTTTAATAATAAACTAAATGATAGGTTATATGCTCTTCTTAATTTTTCATTTCATATTGTTATGATCTTTGTTTAGTCTTTCGGTTTAACTGTTTGGTAATTAGCAAATTTGAGATAATTTGGTTACACATGTCTATGTTAACTTAGTTTGGTCATATTTATTATAGTTTAACTTTATTTATTTCTTGACTTTCTTTTTTTTGACTATTATACAAGCTAGTTAATATTCTCATTATTTGTTAGTTTGTTTCTGGCCTTTGTTTTGACTATTATACGATTTAGGAATCAAAATAAGCCACAAAAATATAAAAGTAACCAAAATAAGTCACTATTATAGTAAGTAACTAAAATAATCTTAGTGGAAGAAAAAGTTCCACTATATCTAATAATCTAAACGTTTTTCGTTAATCTCATAACACTTATTTTTAATATATAACGGAATTTTTTCTTACACTTTATAAAGTGGAGTTTTTTCTTCCACTTTATAAAATAGAACTTTTTATTTCATTTTATAAAGTGGAACTTTTTATTCATTTTTATAAAGTGGAACTTTTTGTTACACTTTATACGAAGAATATGTTTTACGTCTTGAAGAAGCTTTTTCAGTGTTGTCGTATAAATTATATTGATTTGATATGTCATTAAAATGGAAAAAAATATTTCATTATGTATTTTTATTATTATATTCTGAAAAATCTATTTAAGGACGATTATACATAGTTGATAGCACCTACAACATAAAGTCTTCTATATTTGTTCATTTCAATCTAAAAAAAATCTTCTACACCTAAAGTTGAAGTTTCAATTTATTGGGATGGCGAAATTATACATGACGAAAATACCATTTATTATAATTGTCCTTCCAAACACAATGCTAAATATACAATAAATGTTCGATATCATAAATTTATTTCATCAATTTATAAAAGAATGGCATAAAAAGTACGATTATAATTTGATTATAGCCGAAAAATACCCACTTCATTTTTATCAGAAGGACAAGTAAATTTTGGAGAGTGAATTATCTATAATGATGAATCGTTGACCGACTTTTTAAGGGTTCCAAATGACTATATAGATCAAATCAAGTCAACAATACTTGGAATCTATGTTAGGAAGGAGCCTAAAATTAGTCAACAATGTTCTCCTTTATCAGTTGATGTTCACCCCTAATTAGAAAATCGTAATAGCATTCATGAATTTTCGATAACTCAATCTACTGATTTTCCTAAAATGACTCATTATCAAAATACTCTTACCGGCCGATATGATTTTTAATTTAAACAAAACTATCAATGGTAGTGATCGGTAATTCTCAATTATTATATTTCAATTATTGTTTGTTGATTTTGTCAATTATTTATTAATTTATATTATTTATTTTGTAGCGGTTTACCTTAGCAAGATAGGGATATTGCTCCAAGTTATAGACTAAATAATTATTTTGGTCAGTCCTCACACTTTGAAATGACGGAAAATGTTGGGACATCCTCAAATTTTCATGTCTCGACTACTTTTGATGCAGATGATTATCCCTATGTCTAACACTTATTTTTTTATTTGAGTAAGTTAATTGCATGAGCCAAATATTTATATATTTTTTACATATATAGGGAAAATACTACACAAGATGAGCCCATTGATATTGTAAATATCGATGATCACGACCTTCCTAATTTACGGCTCACCTTCAGCTAGTGATAGTGATGATTTGCCTAATGCTGAGGAATCAGGAGATAATGTTCCATTTGAGGCATCACAGTGATGATTTTTTGACTCCCAATTGATCACCAAGACCAATGTCCATGAGTCTGTTTCGTAATCGTGAAATTTCTATCTTGATCATATCTCGGATGGTCCAGATATCTTTGGTGATACACATGATAAATATACATCACAACGTACGTTCCATGAACCAGAAGATTTCATGAATGATGCTATTTATATTGAAAAAGTTACTCAATTCAAAGAAGTAGTTGCAAAGAGCAGTTAAACTTCTACATTTGAACATAACAAGGGAGTGCTTTGTTATTAAATCAACAAAGAAATCGTGGCGACTTGTTCGCAGGCGTGTAAAACAAGGATGTCGATTTAGGTTGACTTCTTTTATTGATAAACATACTAACATGTGGAAAGTTGGAAGACACGTTAAAGAACATACATGTGATATGGGTACGTGCTGCGAAAGGCATTTCAACTTGGATGTTGAGATGATTGCTGACGTCCTCCGTGTTGATATAGAAAGAACGCCAAGGTACAATAATATTCCTAGATGATTTTTATTTAATAAGAAAATATTCATTTTTTATTTGATAATTAATATTATTATTAATTTCAGGTTTCCCATCAAAGATTGTCAAACAGTTGTTCTTAAAGCATATGACATTGCAGTAAGTAAAAGAAAAGTCTATCTTGATCGTAAGCAGGCTTTTGAAAAAGTCTATGATATTGGGTGTTTTCTTTTGCCGAGTTGCCGAGGTTCATGGAAGCTTTGAAACACTTTAATCCTGGAACAGTAGTCAATTGCATGTTGATAGTCAAGACACATATTGGTGCAGAAATAGTCAAACAATAACATCCACCATGTGGGAAAATTATAAAAAATTTGTTGATATTTTTTCAAAAAAAAATAATCAGAAAATGTTTCAACTTAAAGCTAGACAAAAAGATGAATTTTTGTGTACTTTATGACATAGATACTTTTATTTTGTCTTATATTTTACGATATTCTGCCTCTTAATTTATTTTATTTTATTTTCATATGATTTTGAAGTAGTGTTACTATTGAAACTTTTATAAGACGTGTAAACCTAAAGTTTTCTATCAATGAATTTAGATGTCTTCCTAACCAAAACAAAAAATCTAAGGTTGAAAGTAAATCAAATCAAAATCACATTCTAAAAAAGATAAAATTTTCCTACAAGTACAAGGCTGCAATCTTACCTATTTTTGCACCTAAAGCAACGAATATGACTTGTATGTTGTCGAGTTGTGCTACTCAAAAATTTTGATTTGTTTAGTGTAGGGCCGCTTCAAACTGTCAGATTGGGACCATCATAAAAGTGATTTTTTTGGAAGCCATGAAAAGGAAAAGGAGAGAAAGTGAAAGTGAAGATGAAAACGTAACTTTTTATAAAGTGGAATAAAAAATTCCACTTTATAAAGTGGAAGAAAAAATTCCGTTATATATTAAAAATAAACGTTATGACAGTAACGAAAAATGTTTAGAAAATTGAATATAGTGGAACTTTTTCTTCCACTAAGCTTATTTTAGTTACTTACTAAAATAATGGTTTATTTTAGTTACTTTTATATTTTTGTGGCTTATTTTGGTTCCCAACTCCTATTATACAAGCTAGTTATTATTTTAAATTTCTCATTATTTGTTAGTTTGTTACTTACTGTTCATTATTGTTTAGATCTTTAATAATGTTATTTCTTTCATGATGTGTTCATGTTTATTTGAAAACTTATTTCTTACAAATTTTACATTTTTTGTCTACTTTTAAAGGTAATTTTTATTTATTCCAAGTAGTATATATTTGAATGTTGTCCTAATTTGCATTTTCCTAGTTATCAATTTTATCTACCATTGTTTTGTTGGTTATCCTCTATTGTTTAGGTCATTTATTTAATATGTATCGTTTCAGTCAATGGCCAATGAAAACGTCGATTTTGGAGGCCTTTTCAATGATTAAAAGACAGAATTTTAGTTTATATATGTTGTGTGTTGTAAATGGTCACTGAAAAAGTTCTCCGTCAATTTTGAAGGTCTTTCCAATAATTAAAAGACGGAATTTTAATTTATATATGTTGTCTGTTATAAATGACCAATTAAAAAACTCTCCGTCGATTTTGGAGGACTTCCCATTTTAAAAGACGAAAATTTAAATTTAAATTTACATATTTTATTTGTTAAAATTGGCCATATATTTTTCAGTGTTACTGTTTTAGTGTTTTAGTAATTTTTCAATTAAGCACTATTATTATATAGGCTTGTTCGAATTTTATCATCATTAATTAATGTTCGGTCACTTTTGCATTATATATATATATATATATATATATATATTATATATATATATATATAAATAATTGGTTTTCTAGTTTTTTTTTTTGAAATCATTTGAACCCCTTACCTAGAATCAAATTGATTTCGTGGATATTTAATTGGTTTTCTAGTTTTTTCTAAAATTAGGTGGCGGCTTCTTTAAAATAAGTTAATTCTTAAAATTCTTTTAAAATTCAAGAAATTGATCATATTTTGAGTTACTGGACTATTTCACTCTATTCGAATAGAGTGGGATGCAAACAGAATGGTGACTCCGTTGGGGAGTATTTAGAGGTTCTAACCAATACGAATTCATTTTTTTTCAAATTGTGAGAAATTCTTTCATTGTGTTATACATTATATTTTGTATATTTTTCTAATTATTTGTATATTATATTTGTTACTTATTCATTATTCATTTTTTTTATGTATACAATGATTGCATTTTATGACATTTTTCTGGTTCATGTATAGTACACTAAGGGATGATTTTGCGGAACCGCAACCTGACCTTTTTATATTCAACCTTTTTTGTGGAATGATTGATAATTTATTGGTTCGTCACGCATTTAATGGTTGTTGTGAATTCCAGCCTAAGTTATCAACTTGGATTTCCAGTCTTTCAAAAGTCACTCTTAGTCAAACTAGCGTAAAGCGATACCGAATTTCGAATTTAGCGCATTGACCTAAAATGACTCAAATACTCAAGGCGTGCTGGGTCTATTAGAAAGATCACCTTGAGTCATAACGGCCTCCGATCTAAACGGATGATCATAATTGTGTGTAATTTGAAGGATTTATACGACATTTGACAAATCGTTGTCCATGGGGGTTAGGGGTTTATTTTAATAATTTAGTTTAGTCAATTTAGTATCTTTACAAGCAATCATTTCATCCAAAAGATGTTGACATTTGGCGATGACAAGAAGTTCAAGAGAAAATATCTTTCACAAAGGCTTCCTATAAAATGGTACCCCTGCATGGGATTAATTAGTTGTATTTTTTTCTCCTTGTTTTGTAATTCTATTTCTTATATTCATAAAATTTGTACTAAGTGTTTTTGGGACAATGTAATATTGTCAAAAGACGTAATACATCCTTCAAATCGATAGTCGTATCCTTGACATAAAAGGGTCACATACTTGTATAGGATTCGCAATAATTATTTGTTTGTTATGTGATATAATTCGGTTTGTCTTTAATTAAAATTATTCTTATGTGTGTAATTCATTATTTGCGTGATATTTTTCATTATCCATTATGAACACGAACTAACACTCTTACCTTTTGAGTTCTTCTTTTAAGTGAAAGGTTGGTTTATGTCAGAATTTCAAAATCATTGATCATCCGAAGTAGCAACGAACAAAAGGACTCGTGAAATTTCAGTCTTTGTAATGCACAAGACAAAAAGACAAATCAGGGGACTCCTTGACGATGGAGTTATATTTCATTATTTTATTTTATTTTTATTATTATGGCCTTATTTTCACACATTTCTTATATTTTTGTAGGAAAATTGTCCCCGACAATACTCGAAAATGGTCATAACAATGCATAATTTTTGTGAATAATTGGGAGAAGACAAGATTCCAAGAAAAATTTAGAAAAGAATATGACGACATGTGGTTACTCAAAAAAAAAGATAGACCACATTCTATAGAGAGTACAAAGGCCGACAGTAAAAAGAATACAAGGATTCACCCTAAGTTTGTCTAAATTTTAAAATGTGTTATGTCATATTTGAACGAACTACGCAAACCTGATTCTTATCTCGGTGAGAGACGCAGGCAACCCTTCTTGGGTTCAGTATTATTTTTTTCAAAAGTAAAATAAAATAAAATAAAATAGTTTTTGTATTTTTTTCAAGTCAAATCTGAACAAAATACGCGAACTTTATTCTCATTTCGGTGAGATACGTAGGCAACCCTTCTTGGGGTTGGTATTATTTTTTCTAAAAGTAATAAATATAAAATAAAATAGTATGTGCATATTTTTAAAATCATATCAATGAACTACGATCACCTAATTCTCATATCTATAAGCTACGTAGGCAACCCTTCTTTGGTTCGGTATTCATTCTTTCAAAAAATTTGTGTATATATCACAATAATCATGTCTTCGATTTAGTTTGGACCAATGCAGTTAGGATCATATGAAAATAATCGATATGATGGAAATGATTGGATTTGTCGTAAACCATAGATTCTTTTGGTACCTCTTATTTATACTTTTGTGAGGCTTGAAAATTCTCTTGAATACATTCAAGATAAGAATAAAATCAATCTTATGTTTCTTGTGCATTGTGCGGTGAGCATTTATATCAAAATTTAATTGTATCGCACTGTTGATCTAGAACTTGACCTGTCATCGAGGCGAAATCATGAGTAATGTTTGATTTGAGAAAAGATTGTAGGCCCTTTTTGATCCGATTATGCCTTTCAAATCCTACCAAATGACATAAATGTCTAGTTTTTCCACTGTGAGTTTGTAACCTTTCTTTGAACAACCACATTTTAGGCATTACCCTTTTGAGTGCTTACATGCACTATCCTTCTCTTGGCCCAACCTTTTTGAGTGCATCGAGAATGTGCAAATTATAAGAGAAGATCCATGTTTGAAATTTCCAAAAGCAAGATACTGACTCTTCCATAGTCAAGGAAACAAAAGACTTCTAAAAAGAAAAACAAAGAAAGGAAGAAAAAAAAGAGAAAGAAATAGAGAAAGACAAAAATATCCTTACAAGGTCAATGTAAGGTGGATAGGAAAATACTCCAACAAAAAAAAGACAGAAAAATTTATAAAAAAGGATTGAAATAAAAGAAAATCTTCAAAAAAATGAGAACTCAAAAAAAGCCAAAACAAAGGGGGTGAAAACAAAAAGAGAAGAAGGGAAAATCTTCAAAAAATAAGAACTCAAAAGAAATTGAAACAAATGGTTGAAAAAGAGAAAGGGAAAAACTCCAAAAAATGAGAATTCAAAAGAAACCAATGTGGTGGTGGGGGGGGGGGAGGGAGTACAATGAAGAGGACCTGAGCACAAATTCTGTGTGATGCTCAAGGAGGAATTAAGTCACTTTTATCCAAAATAAATATCATACCCATCCCTAAACCTACTTTACAAGTTAATGACAAGCCCTACATGATCTCATTCCAAATGTTCTCACATTAGTGGAGATTTACATAAGGGCATATGGTATCACAGTCGTGTGTGGTGAACAATCTTGTGAGTGTGAATGCACTTTGAAAATGTCCTATAATCAAATATTTCAAATATCTGTGCAATAGGATCAACCTTTGTCACGAAATCACTTGAACCATGAGGATTGGTACAATTCAAAATTTCTGTTTGAAATAAGATGAACAAATCTTGTTGATTTTTAAGTATGTTTGGGGTACCACTTGAAGCTGTAGGAATTACCTTGAATTCAATCTTAATTAAAAAAGAAAAAAAATACTGAGAGATTTACCAACAATCCTAATTGTTGATACCAATCGTAGTCAAGATTTGACTGTCTCATTGCATTCTTTATTTTTTAAAAAAGAAAAGAAAACCAAAAAAATGGGCGAGCACCCACTTTTCCATATTTTTATTTTTTTAGAGTCTTTCCATTCATTAAAACAAACGCCTTTTTGAGTTGTTTAGTGTAAAAAGTGTCATTAGGTTAATCTTGTATGTGTAAGAGTCTTATTTTACTCAATGGGGTTGTCCGTCCCAAAAATGTGACATGTCTTTTATATCTAGCTTTTTAATATCACATGGAATATTATTTTTCTGTTTTATCATGTTCATATAGTGCATTTTCTACTGATGATCTCATCTTAGATTCTGTGCAACATTCATCATCTACAAAATTGAAACTACATTTGACCTGATTCCTGGCTCAAAGGCATATGTAGGCGCTATGATGGCTCGGTCATATACCTAGTCTGATTTTTTCTTTTTCGTTGTAATAAACAGTGGGACAAATTTTTTTCATGTTTATTTGAAAACTTATTTCTTACAAATTTTACATTTTTTGTCTACTTTTAAAGGTAATTTTTGTTTATTCCAAGTACTATATATTTGAATGTTGTCCTAATTTGCATTTTCCTAGTTATCAATTTTATCTACCATTGTTTTGTTGGTTATCCTCTATTGCTTAGGTCATTATTTTATATTTATCGTTTAGGTCGATGGCAAATGAAAACGTCGATTTTGAAGGCTTTCCAATGATTAAAAGACAAAATTTTGGTTTATATATGTTGTGTGTTGTAAATGGTCACTGAAAAAGTTCTCCGTCAATTTTGAAGGTCTTTCCAATAATTAAAAGACGGAATTTTAGTTTATATATGTTGTGTGTCGTAAATGACCAATTAAAAAACTCTCCGTCGGTTTTGGGGGACTTCCCATTTTAAAAAACGAAAATTTAAATTTAAATTTACATATTTTATTTGTTAAAATTGGCCATATATTTTTCAGTGTTACTGTTTTAGTGTTTTAGTAGTTTTTCAATTAAGCACTATTATTATATAGGCTTGTTCGAATTTTATCATCATTAATTAATGTTTGGTCACTTTTGCATTATATACTTTGTAATAGTAAAACAAATTGATGCCAAAAACATAGCTATTAAATAATTTTATATAGAACAAATTGATGCTCAAAGCATGACTACCGTTCCAAACTATTTCATACATCTAAAATAAGTTTTTTGACACACATAACTTGATTTTTTTTTAAATTTTGATTCTTATACTCTCTTATGTGTTGAAGAAGATGATTGACAACAAAAGACAACATTTAGATAGAAAGAAGATGAGTTTTTAGGGAAGGAATTTTTCACATATACAAACCCTCCAAATATATATTTTGCAATTTTACTTGATATTGGAGTAGAAATTTTCACTTCAGCTCTTTCTAACATTTGAATTGTTAATTTGAATATTTGTAGACAAGTTCTCACTAGGTTTGAGCTGTTGGCTAAAATGATAATCACACCCAGGATAATGTCCAAACTAAATAGCAATAGGAAGAGAGTAACAACGACATCAAATATTAAAATGGGTAAATATGACATTCGAATAAGTAATACAATTATATTGATGAAAAACTTGATAGTATCAAAAGATTACTACTCAACACTCTTTTATTTCTTACAACTCACAATAATATTACTTGCACACTATTTTCTCACAAATTAAGAAATAGTTTGTGGATTACTCTACTCTCTATTGCTTCTCTATTTTGGTGTGTCTTCAATTGTTCAATTACTACTCTATTTATAGAGTTTTTTGAACACTTGTTTACATCATTAATGACATAATAAGGTAGACAATTTAAAAAAATTGACTGCCTAACTCTATCAAACTTATACCAAACTTTGACTACCTACTTCCACAAATGTGGCTTTCAACTTTCACATTGGTGGCTATCAATTTTCACATTCATGGATTGTTTTTTCAACAAGTATGTCTTGCCAAATTAATTGTTGCCAAGATTTATTTCCACAAATCTCTCTCTTAATTTTGATTTTTCTTCTTTACTCCAAGGCATGATCTCAATCTCCGAAAATCTTCAAACTTGAGAGGCTTTATAAAGATATTCGCAACTTGATCATGACATTTCACATACTTGAGCTCTACCTCTTTCTTGGCAATGCATTCTTGGATAAAGTGATACCTTGTGTCTATGTGCTTGATTCGATCATGATACACCGGATTCTTTGCTAGTGCTTGCGCATATTTGTTATCAACACAAATCATTGTGGCTTTAATTTGTGGCAGCGACATCATGTACGTGTCATGCTATTTGGTTGAGAAGATTGTTGCCGCATCTATGAGAGAGAGATTTTAAATTCATTATTTGTGATCGTTCGGAAATTGACCGAGTTGGAAATATTCTCAGGTGAATGGACTAGTGCTAGTTGAGGATACTTGTCTTTGTTTCAACGCCCTTAAGGGTCTCCCAGGTACTCAACAAACTTATGTACACGCTTCAATCTCAGTGTATGTGCTTTTATTTGAGTTGTGACAATGAACTAAGGTGTTGAGTTTTTTGTTGTTGCAGGGCCTTACATGTAAGTTCATCCTTTTATCATTCTGCTCTTGAGTTTTGTGCTTTGTCTTCATTTATACTTTTGTATAATATCCCTTATGATATTTAGAGTCATATGCTTGTTATGCAATTCTGGTAATTGCACTTGACCAATATTATTAACCAATGTGCCATTTCCTCAATATGAGGCCTATAGCTCTCAATTTGTCTCTGTTCACAGATGAATTGAACTGATGAACTTCAATATGTGTGAAATATTTTGTTTGTTTATAGTGATAAGTTATTTCAGTCAGTTAGACTTCTGTTAGCACTTACAAGCTACTTCCTTACTCGAGGCATGTGGTTTATAAAGTTAAGTGTTCTCAGAATTATAAGTTGTGTTTGGTATGCTTTAAGATACTTTCTAACAACAAGTGTTTCCCTTGATGAAACAATTTTCTACTGTTTGGTTGTGTTAAATTGTTGATAATGTTTTGTGATGGATTTTTTACACCAAATAGGGAAAACTGACTTACATTGATGTGTGTGAGTCATTACAATTGTTAACTCTTGTTCAACACTTCAACTTATTTCAACCAAATGACCAATAGTCAAATTTCAGTGTTTAGTTAGTGCCCGTTTGGATTGGCTTATTTGAGGTGTTTTAAAGTCAAAATAGCTTTCAAGCAGTTTTGAAGTGTTTGGGTAAAGTTAAAAAATGCTTATAAGCACTTATTTTAAATCCAAAACAACAAAAGTAAGCCAAAGTCATAAGTTAGAAATTCTATTAGTCATAAGCCAAAAGCCAATCCAAACAGGTAAAAACAAAAATTGTAGAAAGCTGGACATAGTGGACAGAAATTGGTTGGCTTTAAGTCTCACCTTGGGCCAATTTTGAATAACATTAGTGTAAGGCATGGGTGCATATAGATTTTAAGTTTGAAGAAAACATTTGTTTAAAGATTTGTGGTTAGGGTTTTAGGGAGAAGAAGAAGAAAATGAAGAAAGGGTAAGAGGTGTTTGCATAATAGTCGCACAAACACAACACTTCCATCAACTGAGCAGCATCTGCATGTCCTTCAATTTAAGTTTTAAGGATAATATGTTTCTTATTTTGAAGTTACTTTACTTTTTTCAGGCATTCCACAGTTAGGTTTGTCTACCTCAGATACCATACCAGGAAGTACAACCTTTATCAACAGACGTAAGTCGTCCTGTTTCATTCTTCTGTATGTTTGGTTGTATATATAATTTCTTTCACATCATTATTTCCTAAAACCTCTTAACAGGAACATGAAAAGGAAAAAATGGAATGTAAGATTTCATGATTTTTACAAATTTCAGTAGGAAAAAATTGTACTGCATTTTTTCCTACATTTTACTCTGCCCCGTTACGTAAGAACTATCAACCCTTCTGAATATTTTCCCGCCCATTAATACATAGCACTTCCTTTGTTTCAATTTGTTTGTCCTTTGTTGTTTGGCTGTTGCGAAAAGAGTGTCTTTTCCCTTTTTCCCAGTCAAGCAAAATACTAGATCCTTTTGATATTTGTTGTGTACTTCAAGCTCTCGACGAATTATCCAACAATCCAGCCAAATATAGATAAAGACAGAGAACTAGCCATAATAATTTTATTACTTTAAAATACAAATGAATGTATTCTACGAAGGAAAATGTCAAAAAACAAATGAATCGACTGATAGAATTTTGCAAGTTAGGTGTGTAGTTCTTTTGTTGGATTACCTCTTGGTAGAACGTAGTGGACTAGAAACCTTCGGCTTAACCAGATTTGAACTTCTTCCGTTTTCATTCGCAACATTTCCTATGCTTCATATGACATCTTTTTGTTTAATGTCAAAAACAACTGAATAGATTGATACAATTTTGTGAGCTAAGTGTCTACTTCTTCCGTTTTCTTTCGCAACATATCCTATGTTTCCTATGACTTTTTTTGTTTAACAAGCTTGCTGTTTCTCAACCTTCATAAGGTAGACTTACCTTCTTCTGTTAGCAGGAAAACACTTTGCTAATAATAAAGCCATTGTCAAGCTCATTTGAAATATGTTTTTATATGTAGGAATTGGATCAACATACAATTAGCTTAACATTTTGACTCCGCAAAATTAATGTGATTAGTTAAACAAATTGTGCTTGTTTGCCTTATTTTCATTCTAATTTTTATTTTCCTGAATGCTACATTAATATTTCTCAAATGTATGCCATTTTTCCCCAATGGCTGTAACACATTTATCTATGTATTTTTTCCAGATTACATTAAGTTATAAATTAGTTTAACAAATCATGAACTACTCGAACAGGAATTGAAGAAAATATAGATAATGTGTCTACCTAAGAAAGAACTTTTGACAGAAATTTTCGTCGTCGTACGAGATATGCACAAATGTCACCGGAGAGAAAGCAATTAATTTTATCCGAGCTAAGAGAAAAAAGGGCTTAGTCGAAAAAACAAAAACTCATTTATCAATCAAATACTACTGGAGCTCTTACAATCAGCACTTCTTCGTTATCTCCTCAGGATGGTTAGCTGACCATATTGTTATCTGCATTCCATTTATATATTGTTGCTCGTAATTTTTCTTTTGCCCGATTTGTTTTTACCTTTATTGTCTTTATTATGAATTTTGTAGTTGCTGAGACTTGGGATTCCCACATTAATAGATACTGCTTTTGTGTTTTATATCCAATTCAGTTATATATTCTTGCTCATGAAGGACAGCATACACCGAGTGTATAACATTTTCATAGAAAGAAAATGAATCTCAGTAATCATGGAATTTCACACTATAAATGTTTGATAATATGCCTAAGACAACTAATATTAGTTTTATGATACTTTTAGGTGAATTTTCAGAATATTTTGATATATTGTGCAATCATTTCAAAGGTACGTTATCATGAATGGAAATCTATAAAGTTTCATTCTTTATCAAATATTATGCAATAGAACTTCTATATGTACGCTAACAATTGTTCCAGATTACTACATGCATTATGTATTTTTCAAGAATTAGGGGTTTGTTATCAACTAATTTGAGGCAAAGACTAAACTCTCTTCTCTTTAGGTTCGTGTAGTTATGGAACTTGCCTCCTAAATTGCTTTCACTCAATACGAATTTGAAAAATTCTCTTTCATCTTGATCGTGACGTCTCTATCAGTGAGTAAATAATAATACTATGTTCCTGAAACTCTTCAAACGTTATTATTTTCTAATAAATATTGTTCTTTTCTTTTTACTCATGTTGATTAGTTATTTGATCACGTTTTCGCTTATCATTTTTCTATTGATATTGATGGAGTTCATTTTTGTGTGTTCATATAAAGTGGAAGATCTATACACATGTACACACATTTTACATAAATATATATACATTAAAAATGAGAGGGAGGAGGAAGAAGAAAAAGTGGTACAAAGGGAAAAAGAAAAAAAAATCAGCAAAAGGGAGGAATCAAAAAAGAAAAAAAAATCAGCAAAAGAGAGGAAAAGAAAAACAAAGAAGAACAAAAAACTATTCACCTTGATTTTTCGTAAGGAACACATGCACAAAAAATAACTCAAAAATAGTGAAATTTGAGGCTTCAAATTCGTGGTCCTTATCAATGTATTTTCTTTGTGAATTAATTTTTACAAAAGGTAACAGTTGATCTTTATTACATTATTTGGTTTCAGAATCTTGCAAGATATGATTTCAATGATATAAAGTTTTTTAAATTTATGCATGTTTAATTTTTACATTATGATATGAAATAGATTGAGATCTTATATTATTAAATTTAGAGTAAAATTTATATAACATGTATTTATTCTTGCTTGCTCTAAAGTTTTCTTTTATCTTGTTCTTTATTAAAATTCGAAGCTTAATATTCTATAGTATGCAGTTAGTAATAATTAGATAAAATTTAGTTCTTATTTGTTAAATTACTTTTTCACTTTGTATATTTAATAAAACTGTATTTATTTATTTTTAAAAAAGACAAGAACAAAAATAAAGATAAAATAAATCAAACCTACACTATCTTTACATTTCTTTTAATGCAAAACTTTTTTTTTTTAAAAATCAATTAGTTTATTCATGTTGAAAGAATAAAACATAAAAATTTAAATAAAAGGAAAAGACGTAAAAGAAATTTATAAAACATAAAAGTACTAAAATAAGAAGGATAAAATAAAAAAGAAAAATAAGGTAAAGTATAAGAAGAAATAGAAACAAAATAAAAAAAATGAAAAACATTATTAAAGTGACCCAAAACGTACAAAAATAAATAAAATAAATAAAATTGATTTTAATTACTGGGTGCTTTTCATTTTAATGACTAAAACAAGAAAAATAAAAAATTTATGTGAAAAGGTGTATTATTTTAATTTATTTTTATCTTTTTTTCTTATTAATATATTGTTCATTTTCTTTTAGAAAAATAAAACTAAGATAATATATAATTTAGCCTTATGATAATGATACTAATAAAATATTAAAATCCAAAAAATATTAAACTACTTTTAGTTTTTTAATACAAATAAATAAACAATTTGTGGTGAGGTTGGAAAGAGATGCTACCAATAAACTACATGCTAATAAAATATGACAATTTTACAAAGCAATTTAAAATAAATTAAAGAAAGCGGGACATAAGTAAATTGTTAGGTAATAAACATAATATATTCAAAATTAAGTCAAGACATATAAAAGTCAATAAAGCGACTGTGCTAGAACCACGGGATTGGGGGATGCCTAATACCTTCCCTTCGGTCAACAAAATTCCTTACCCGATTTTTGATTTCGCAGACCAAACAAAGAGACATTTCCTTTTGATTAGGGATTAAACCAAAAAAGGTGACTTGGAACACCATAACTCAATTCCAAGTGGCGACTCTAAAAAAAAATTAAAATAATCCCCTAATTAATAACGTCAGTTAAATTGGAAAAACCCTAACGCCGCTGCGCGAAAAAGGGGTGTGACAGATTGCGACTCCACTGGGGACTAACTAGAATTCGAGCTTGTAAATATTGACTTGTATATGACTTTAATTTTATCGTGTTTTTTATATTAATGTTGTATATATTCGCTTGTTTACCACTATGATATTGTTTGAATTTCAATTTAAATTGTCTTCTATAAACACCAATATGAGTTTTCTGAGATACTTTATTCGGAGATGCGATTACTGTAACGACCTGTTTAGTCGTTTTGAGCAGCAGATTTTATTTCTGGAAAAACTGGCTGAGACGACGGATCCCACAACGAACCATCATGGGCATGACGGACCATCGAGGGGGTCTCGTTCCAAAACACTTAGATTTCTGAAAATTGGATACTGAAACCGACTCTCTGAACTTCGTGACGGAATGGCAGGACGGACCGTCAAAGGCGTGACGGGCCGTCACAGGCGTGACGGGCCGTCACAAATCCTTCAGTAAATTTCAGTCTCTGAACTCTGTGACGACTCAGCAGGAGGGACCGTCGCAGGCACGACGGCCCGTCACAGGCTGCGTAATCCCAGGCTGGGTCAGATTTCTTTAAATGTTTTAAGGGACGTTTTGGACTATTCCTGCTTATAATTATAAAGATGGTGGTTGAATATTAATAATCCAATTTCTTGAGGGTTAAAGAAGATAACCTTGAATTAATTAGTGGGTTATTTTTTCATCTTTTTAATTATATGTTAATTAGGGTAAAACAAAAAGGGTTTGAATAAAAAAAACAGAAAGAACAGAGAGAGGGAGAACGATTGATCGAGAGAGAGGAAAAATGAAGCTTTGGGGAATTTGCTTGCTTGATCACGAATCTTCGGTGGAGGTAGGTTATGGTTTTTACACTATTCGTAGTAAACTCTTAATAGCGAATGATATGTATTGGGTAGTGTTGTAAACCCTTCTATATGCTTAATTGTGTGTTTGCATGTTGTGATTATATAATTGTGATAAAATAAGCATGATGAAGCTATTGAATCCTAAATCTTGAAAAAGAAACCCTAATCTACTTTGTTAATGATGACGCCTTGGTATAAAAGAAGGCTTGACGAACGAAAGTAGTGAGATTAGGGGATAGGGTGCCACGTTCCGGTACCAGGAATAGTATATGAGGATCGGAGTGTCACGTTCCGACAGTAGGATAGAATATGAATCGGGTGCCATGTTCCGGTACCAGGATAGTATATGAGGATCGGAGTGTCACATTCTGACACCAGGATAGAATATGGATCGGGTGCCACGTTCCGGTACCAGGATAGTATATGAGGATCAGAGTGTCACGTTCCGACACCAGGATAGAATATGGATTGGGTGCCACGTTTTGGTACCAGGATAGTATGATGAGGATCGGAGTGTCACGTTTCGAAACCAGGATAGAATATGGTTCGGGTGCCACGTTCCGGTACCAGGATAGTATGATGAGGATCGGAGTGTCACGTTCCGACACCAGGATTAGTAAAGAGAATGAATCTTGAAGCATGTTAATATACTCAATTTAATGAGCCTAAATCCCAAATGAGTATGATGGGGAGGCGTGAGTCCTCATTGATGAGCTTGGTGTTGTGACCAAGGGTTATGGTAATTGTACTTGCCGCATGTTGAGTATTGTAGTTGATTTATGATATTATCTGATATATACTGTTTTCTATTTTGAGTTGGACGATGATATCTAGTCAGTACCTGTGTTTTGTACTGACCCCTACTTGTATGTTTTCTTTTTGATTATTTGTGGAGTGCAACAAACATGCCGTCGTCTTCACCTCAACCGCAACTCTAGCCAGTCTTCATTACTTCGGATTTCAGGGTGAGCTAATGCTTCTAGCTTGGACTGGATCTTCCTCTTCATGTCTTGATGCCTTGAAAGTTTCGGCATGGACTAGCTTTTTATGTATTTTAGCTTCTTAGATATTCTTAGATTAGTAATTTGAGGATAGATGTTCTTGTGATGATGACTTTGAGGATAGATGTTCTTGTGATGATGACTTCCAGATTTTGGGAATAATAAGTTTGAGTTTTAAAAGTTAATTATTTATTTCGTTAATGAGTTTTAAGTCTTCCGAATTATTTTCTGTTATTATGTTAAAATGTTGGGGTTAGATTGGTTGGTTCGCTCACATAAGAGGGTAAGTGTGGGTGCTAGTCGCGGCCCGTTTTGGGTCGTGACAAACTTGGTATCAGAGCATTAGGTTCGTTGGCCTAATCACACAAGAACGAGTCTAGTAGAGTCTTAAGGAACGGTAGGGGGACGCCTTTACTTTTCTTTGAGAGGCTATAAGACTTTAGGAAAAAATTCCATTCTTTCTTTCTTTCGTGCTATTACTTGGATCCAATTGGTATCTAGGTGATACAAATTGGTATCTGACCATCTTCACTCTATTTCGCTGATGGTTAGAACTAGAGCAACGACTGCGCCAACACCAAAACCGGCAAGATAAGAAGCGTCTGAGCCATTCACTGGGGCTGTAGCTCGAGGAAAAGTAGCGGCAAGAGGCCGTGGTAGAGGTCGTGGGAGGACGTCCTCTAGGGGAAGAGGACAAGCACCCGTCCCATCTAATACTAGGGCGGTGACTCCTCCACCGACTGAAGAAGTAGTAACAGAGGGTGAGGAAGGGGAAACTGAGCAAATGCAGAATGAGGAACTACCACCCCAACCTACCCCAAAGATGATAAATCAGGTTCTTGCTTATCTTAGTGGGTTATCTGATCAAGGTCAAACACCTCCAGTGTTTTCTGCACCAGCACCGCAGGTTCCGGAAGTACAACAGGCAACTACGGCGGCTCCCCGCATGGATGTTCCATTGAAAATAGGCACGTTTCCTCGTCTGACTACAGGGCCTATAATGACAAATGATCAGCATGAACTTTTCAGTAAGTTCTTGAAATTGAAACCTCCAGTCTTCAAGGGTGCTGAATCTGAGGATGCCTATGATTTTCTGGTTGACAATCATGAGCTACTACACAAGATGGGTATAGTAGAACGGTTTGGTGTTGAGTTTGTGACTTATCAGTTTCAAGGGAACGCCAAAATGTGGTGGCGGTCACATGTTGAGTGTCAACCAACAGAGGCCCCACTTATGACTTGGGCATCATTCTTTAGCTTGTTTATGGAGAAGTACATCCCCCGGACCTTGAGGGATAGGAAAAGAGATGAGTTCTTGAGCCTAGAGCAAGGTAGGATGTCAGTCACTGCATATGAGGCTAAATTTCGTGCATTATCCAGGTATGCTACCCAACTTTTTTTCAGTCCACAAGAGCGGATTCGCCGT